CGGTACGCGGGTCTCTCACTGTTGCGGCCTCTCCCGTTGTGGAGCACAGGCTCCGGACACGCAGGCTCAGCGGCCATGGCTCACAGGCCCAGCCGCTCCGCGGCATGTGGGATCCTCCCGGACCGGGGCAGGAACCCAAGTCCCCTGCATCGCCAGGCGGACTCTCAACCACTGCGCCACCAGGGAAACCCCTACTAACATTATTTTTAAAGGACTTAATAAACTTTTTTTGGTTTTAATTTCCAATATGATAAATACCAAAAGATAAAACCCACATGAACAATGCAACCATTTTTAAGAATATAAAGAGATTCTGGGACCCAAAACATTGAGACTGGATACTGTAGGCCTACCTACTCCTATCTTATTCTACATACAATTTTCTGTTTTTATTGAAAAATATTTACAAAATAAAATATCTTCCCTTTATGTTTCTCAGTAAACTTTTTCATGATCTACACAGGAAACATCTTCCCTAAATGGGAGTATGACATTCCCTCAAATATAGGAAGAGGGAGAACAGCTCTAAGCAAGAGAAAACTGCCTGTTCCACAAAAAGGAATAAAATCTGAGCTTGAGAACTGGGGGCTTTAGGCTTTAGCCACATCTACAGACATAGCTGAGCCTGCTTCACCGTCCACCGTAGACCCAGGCTGTGCACAAAGGCCATATCCATCCAGCACACTTTTTCTTTGCTCAATTCAGTTGGCCAGAACTCTTTGAGGACTCTGCTACAATTCTGGACTCCCTGCCAGGTATGGTATTTGGGGGGCAAGATGCTGGTGGTAAAAAGAGGCAACCATCCTCTCTACAATTCCAATCATCCAAATGGCATGAAAGGTACACCTGGAATCTCAGGTTTCTCTCTCTGCATTGCAGAGAGAAAAGATTTCTCAAGCTGAGATTCATTGCGATGGAGCTATCATATCTGCCCACCTAAAATAAGTAGCAGCATCTCCAGGGTTGAGGAGATAGGCCGGGATAGATGACCAGAAAGACTTGCCAGGGGCAGGGGGGTGGGGTGAGAGGGGGGTTGCAATGCTCAGCTTTGTCAGGTATCAGAATCACTTTGCTAGGTCTGCTCTTACAGAGAGAAGGGGAACGGAATTAAGTTTCTTCTCCGGGGCCTGATCACACAAGCCACAGCCCTAAATATAGTAAAGTCAACATCTTAAAACCTACAAGTCTCTCAAATAACTTGTAACAGGCTTCAGTGTTTTATTATCACTATCATAAGGTAGATATTGGCAAACTGATTTCCACCAATATATGCATATAAACCCTAGCCATCCCCAATAAAGGAATTGTAAATTCAAAGTCATTTGTTAGGATTTTAGCATAAAGTTCCCTTATAGAAAAATGTTCTAAATGGCAATTAGGCAAAATAGTACTGTATTTTATATACAGGGTAGATTATATAGATTTGTGGGCTGGCATAAGAACCTAAGAATTAAATTGTTTCCACAGTTTATAAGTGTAAATCCTGGACTTGAGGTACACTCATGCACCCCCATCCCAAACCAGTTGTAGTGATAAACACACTGGAAACTCTTACTTAAAAGGCAAAATCTAGAGATTCTTAGGCTCTCCTGATTCCCCTTATAAAAAAAGGATTCTCTGGAGATAATGTATACTTATAAGTACTGACAGACAAGGGCAGCTCTGAAAGCAAAATCAGAAGTGAAAGAAAGGAAAGAAAGAAGCTTACCTGTGGTCAAGATGACTGAAGTCTTGTAAATTCAATTCCCTGGTGTCTTGTGTCAGATAAATTGTATCCACATCCTATTTGAAACATAATTCAGTCATATAAACAGTCCCCATAGAGGATCAGGGAAGCAAGAGAGATGCAAAGAGAATGAGACAATGACACAGGCAGATTCTTATCTAATCTGAGGAAGGAAGATTTTAAGCAAGCAATAAATGGTGGGGGGGAAAAGAGAGAGAGAGCGAAATAAGCCAGTCAAATACTGGAATATTCTCCAGGTGTGCGTGTGCGAAAGTGCATGTGTGCATGCATGCAGATACACTTACCCATTGTACTTCTTCCCTGTATGAAAATCCAAGCCAGTCACAAACACAGGCATACATCTGAGAAAATCCTCCTGAATTATACAATAGAAATGTGACAGGTTTTCGACTAAAAGCTTTTTAAGTTAAAATTTAAAAGCTTAAATATGGCCGATGTTGACAATGCTGATTATTCTCTCCTTTTGGGAAAACAGCAAAGATTCTCCCCCCTGTTCTACAGTAAGTACATAGCAGGATGCAATATAGCTTAAATATAGGATGTTTGTCCACCAATCTAAAGTCTGTGCGGTGCTAATTACACCTTAAAAGTAATTGTACCTTTACGGTAGCACACTAGGAATAGACTTAGCTTCCTGGCAAAACGGCAGCCATCCAGCCATTTATTTTTTGGTTTTAAAATGCATGCTCACCACAGGGGCCCTGCTCGGCCACAGTCTGGCTGTCCCACAGAGCCTGGAGACTGGCCAGTCGCTCAGATGGCTCCATGCAGACTTTTTTCATGATTCTCCTGTAAGATCAACAAAAACAACGATACATTTCAAAAATCAAGTTTTCTGAAATGCACTCAGAAATGTATTTTGTGATACACCATTTTTTTTTTAAACAAAGATCAGTTTCGGGACTTCCCTGGTGGTCCAGTGGTAAAGAATCCATCTTCCAGTGCAGGGGATGCAGCTTCCATCCCTGGTCAGGGAACTAAGATCCCACATGCTGCGGGGCAACTAAGCCTGCGTGCCGCAAATACTGAGCTCACACACCTCAACTAGAGAGCCCGCGTGCTGCAAACTACAGAGCCCATGTGCTCTGGAACCCGCACACCACAACTAGAGAGAAGTCCAGGCACTGCAACAAAAGATCCCACAGCCTCAGCGAAGATCCCATGTGCCGCAACTAAGACCCGACACAGCCAAAAAAAAAAAAAAGACGGGTATCACTTCAATTTTGGTAAATATAATTCCATTTTTTGAGTACTAGGAGCTGGAGAGCTATTGGAACTTAATAATAAAGCCCTTTATTTAACGCCAATTTGTAAGCTAAAGGTATCTAACAACATAAATATTCTCCATGTTTAGTTCTTTCACAACATTAGATTTTATTAGAATAGTTAGAAAATGGTGTGTTCCACTCAATTATCTAATTTATCTAATAATAATTTATTGGATTATGTGTACACTAAATATAAATTACTAATTTTCAAGGAATTAAAGTACAAACCTCTTCTGTCCTTCCATAGTACAAATAGTACAAATGTCCATCAAGAAACTGGGCATTTCATATGGGAAGAGCTGCTCCTTTTACTATCTCTTCCCCTGGACTACAACTCCTAGGGAGGCCTGTGCTTTCCAGAGACTGAACACAGTTCAAATCAGTTAGCAAATAACGTGTGATAGGGAGGGGATGACAGGAATCTAGGAGCTAAGTGGGAACCAGGTCACAGTGAGCCTCAGAGGTCAAAGGAAGGGGTTGGGATTTTATTCTCAGGGAAATGAGGAGCCACAGAAAGGCTACACGGGGAGTATAAGATGATCAGATAGCACTGTAAACAAACTTCTACAGGGGTGGGGGGTAAGCCTGGGGCAAACTTGGGAAATAGAGAGATAAAATAGCTTGAAAAATTAAAAAGAACTTCCAGTGAGAGTGAAGGTCATGAATTGTTGGTGGCACCAAGCTGAACAGCTGTGTGATCTTCTACAGCTCCCAGCAGCCCAAATGTGTGTGAAGAAAGGGCAGTTGGCTTGCTGCAGGGATGCAGGCTTTCCAGGCAGGCGAGCCAGAAAAACAGTGGGGACAGAAGGAGTGGGGGATACTGACAGGGCCCCACTGTAGTGATGGACACCATGGGGCTTGGCAGTCAGGAAAGGAAGGGAAGGCAGGAAGGAGATGGAAACAAAGGGAAAGCCCAGGGATCCATGGCCTGGAGGCCCCCCAGAAGTCCAAGTAAGGGTATCGCCAAGGGAGAGAAAGTGAAAGACTAGAGGCTGTGGTCCGAGAGAGATGACTAAATGATGATTTCACCCCAGGAGAAGCCGTTCCAGGAGATGACAAGGTCTAGGGTGTGGCCATCAAGGGTAAAGCGGGGTGGAGGGGTCATGGGCTGTGAGGAAGGCTGCTGGCAGGTCGAAATCACCCAGGACCATCACAGGCCCTGGCTGCAAAGTGGTGAAATAAACATACTAAGTCACACTGAACATCATTTTAATCTTTCTTTAATGATTTAAAGCACTTTGGCTATGTGTATAATGCTCATCCTTATGAATTTCAACCACCTTGTAGAGTACTGGAAGAGAATGGTCCCAATTATTTCCATTTTCTGATTGGATGAATATTCCAGATAAAATGTGCTAGAGCCTGACAAGTTGCCTGGCTGGCCTGTTCTACTACTAGAAAAAAACTTCAAATACATACCCAAGCATTTAAATACAAGCATTCTGCTAGCATTGAAAAATACTCCTACATCTTTATAATTTTTATGACTGAAGCATAAGTAGGTATTACCAATTGATGTCAAGTATCAGTGATCCCTTCAAATTCTTGTGTAAATGCATGACATCTACAAATGCAACATGATTTTTCTCTGTTTTACCTGAACACACATATGATTAACTCTCATTATTCTAAAAGTTCTTAATTTGGGGACAACTGTTCCAAATCATTATGAAGATGTTCATAATGAAAGTGATACTACAGAATCCGGCGATTCGGAATGGTTCATCGCGGTTCAATACCATCATTCTGGTATTGCAGTGGCATTATTTTCTGGCTACAAGACAGCGAAGCCGGATATTATGTAAAGAAGGAACAGAGTGGTTGGAAGCAGATGCATTTCCACAGATGAATTAAGTAAACCTTGGACACACCAAGCTGGATTTATGTCTGACTTCATCTGAGATCACATTTCTCTTCTAAAGTTCTTGCTTTATTTCAGCTGGACTGTAGGGCATGTTGTTTCAATAACACACAGGATGAAGTTGAGCTAGTCCAAAACAGACAGAAAGTAAGGCAGCAAGCTGGTAGGATTAAGAATAGGAAGGTGGCTGTCTAGGATTATAGGGAGAAATAAACTAATCCTTATGGCAGGTTCAGAAACCAGAGCCTAATTTTACTCCCAAAACAGCACTGGACAGTCACACTCAGAAGTAGGAGGAAATCATCTGGAGAGTGAGGGAAGCGGCCAGTGTAGACATCCATGTGAACAGGGCCTTGCTGTGAGGTGGTTACACCTGGCGTTTTTCCTAAACTTCAAACCACCCTTCAAAAGTATCAGTCTGAGCTTCTCCAAGTAGCTCCCCTTCTGTAACAGTTTTCATCTTTCTTTTTTCAGGAAGGAAAAAAAATTAGGTATCAGGAACTAAAGGAGTATCACGAAACAAGTGCATTTATTTACATAAGAGGTAAAGTCATAAGAACTAAACTTCCAGAAGGCGGCAACTGTTTCTTATGTTTTCTAACACTAGACAGAGAGGACGAGGAAAAGAAAAATCTACCCCACATGAGTTCTGCCTGTAGCTAAATAACAGCAAAGAGCCATCTGTGTATGCACCACAGGGCACCCGCTCACACATACACACACAAAAAGAGCGCGTGTGTGTCAGACACAGACAGACAAACGAGTTGCTGTCAGAATAAGTGCCCTAAGAGGTAAACCAAAATCCTAGCAAACAGATATGTACATCCCGCCACTCACTAACAGGCGGCACTATACAGTTGGACCAACTACATTTACATTCTGTGCATTTAATTTACACAAGACTCAGAAAATAGTTGTATGTGGTAAGAACAGTGAACTCGGTGACAAGCATGCCCGCTCTCTATGCAAATCTCATGCTTAAATTGTTGACACGGGAAAAAAATCTGCAAATTATTTTAATCCAGGTAAATTAATTGGTTTATCAGAAATTCAATTCCAGTGCTCATCCTATACCATATGGCAGTTGCCTCCAGAAAAGGACACGTTTTATTGACGTAAACCACACCACACAGTGCTACCTACTGCTTTAGAAAAATATAGAAACTGCCACAGCCTGTAAAGCACCTTTCTGTTGTTTAACCATAAACTTCTATTTTGCCACTTCTCTTCACTTATAATAACCTCACCTTTTCATACTTAACCGGCTTTCGACTTGAAAGGGATTTGCAATTCCATTTTTATCATGGTAGTAAAGACGCATTGTCCTGACATACCGACACTAATACCCAGCCAACTTTCAAATTGTCACATACGTGAAAGAATAATCCAATATGATGAAAGCCTAGAAGAAAATCATGTTAGAAGGTTACTGTTCTGTCACCTAAAAAGGTGTTATGAGCCACATTTAACAACAAAGAATCAAATTAAAGAAATGCAACCAACTTACATAGAAACATATAATAATAATAAAAAATCATAAACTTCAAAGAAATTCCCTACGGATGTCACCCATTTCCTTTCCAACAGTGGAGGCTTTCATTCCAGGGCCTCTGGGTAAGAACAGCAACGGGCTATACAGCTTAAGACTTGTGGAGCACTTGTTAAGCAGTCAGCACGAGTTAATTTAATCCTCGCAAAACTGCATGAGTATCATTATTCCCATTTTACAGAGGAGGACACTGAGGCATTGAGAAGTGCATTAACTTGCCAAGAGTCTCACCCCCTAAAGTAACCAGACAATCTGACACCTTCTAGTTCCACCTGGAGGCTCTCTTCCCCCAGGTTCAGAAATCAGTGCTACAAGACTGACTCTCCCTTAAGTGTAGCTGTCATTTCATTCTAAAGTTCAAAAGCCTTCACTAGCTCCCTACTGCCTATCCCAGAGGCTTTTATTCAGGGCCTCTCCAGGTGTGCCTTACCTTTGTCTCACAGTGATATCTGCAGGCTCCCAATTCTAACTGCTTTAGGCTGGCTGCTGTCCTCCTAAGGCAAGTTAAGTTACAGCTGCACCTGCCCTCACCTCTGCCTCCAGCCTCCAACCTCTGCCATTTCCCCCACAGAACTCTCCCTGGAGCTCACCCCCAACAAAAGCCCACCTCTCAAAACAAAGAGGAAAACAAACACAAATCAAACATTATTTTCTTGACATCCCAAGTTACATGGAACTTTCCCTTCTCTGAAATCTGAGGATATTTCACTCTCTTCATGATATTATTTGTGGAACTTTCTTACGCTACCTTTAGACAATAAACTCTTAGATGGCAGGAAACATTTCACTCATCTATGTTCTCTAGTAAACATTTTTTAAATTAGTTCTAACTCGCCCTAATGATTCAATTTAATATAAAAAAAAAAATCTAGCTTGGTTTTGGAGAACAGCCAGGGTTCTTGGTATTAGAAAAGCTAAAGGCCATAACATAAAACAGTTTCCTGAAGGGAACTGCCATTACAGACATCTCTGTGAAACAGATTAAACAACACTTAGGCTACAAATATTTCCCTAGTTTCCTCCCATTACCACTGCCTTAGAGATGAGGCCTCCAGTGATAGTGACTATCACACAGCAAAGATGAGAACGTTGACAAAACAATGCTAATGGT